GGGGGGGTTTTTCTGGTTGGGTGCTGGGGCTGGGGCTCTGGGCTGTCTGGGGGCTGTGAATGGGGAGGGGTTGGGAGTGGGAGTGGGGGTTCCAGCGCTGGGCTGTCTGGTCCTTAGCCTTATTTTCCCGGTGAGCCGTGCCTCCATGGCTTGCATCTGCTCCTGGAATTTCTTTTCCCACTGATGGATGAAACCGACCATGATGCCGACGGTGATGGGGCGTTCTAGTTCCTCCTTTTCTTCCGGTGTGAGCTCGACCTCCGTCGATTCATACAGCGAGGAGGAGGAGGGGGTGGTGTGGTGGTCTCTGGTTTGTGAGGAGCCCGGGTTGTTTGTTATATTTCCGGTTGGGGTTCCCGGGATTTCTCTTGTTGTGGCCAGGGGGGAGGAAAAATGTACCTGCCTTGGTGCATTCTGGGGGGCTGAGCTCTCCGGCACTCCGCTTGGGCTGTGGGCGTGCTGGCTATCCCCCAGCCCTGTTTGGTCTGTGTTTTTCCCATTTCCTTGGGACAATGCTACATCTTGTGTAACCTGTGTTTCGGTTATTCCGATGTCTTGGGATTGGTCCATGGGTTCGTTAACTTCGTCCATTGGTGGGGAGGAGGCTGGGACCTGTGGTATTTGGGATACTGGCACAGGGCTTTCTTGTGACGGGTGGTAGGAGGAAGCTGCTGCTGCCAGGAAGGCCAGGGCGTCGGTGTCGGCTGCGTCTACCGCTTCATTGCCGAAGATCTTCTGGAGCGTAGTTCTGAAACCTGGTAGTTCTGGTTGGGGTGCCGCTATGGTCGGAGCCTTCGTGTTTCCGGTGAGGAGGACATAGCATGCATCTGTGCACCCTAGCTCCCGTCTGACCTCTGGGAAAGTACTTCCCCTGGCCACGATTCTGTTTCCCACATTGATTAAGGCGTTGGGACAGCCTCTCTGGTGCCTGATAGTGGCGAACATGGGGAGGGTCAAGTTGAGGGACACTCCCTAAGGGGAGCCGGGCGGGAGGAGGCTGGGGGAGTTGACCCTTGGGCTCTTGGTAGGGCTTCTGGGTCCCCCCAGGGGAGAGGGGGAGTGGGGAAGGTGCGGCAAGGCCGGGGACGAGGGTTGAGAGGACATGGTGAGTGAGTAGGATGGTCTTATGGCCAGCGTCCTAAACTCTCAAAGGGAATGAAGCCTTAGGATGGAGGGCTGTGATTGGCCACACCACCTAAGGGAGGCGTATCATGAGTGAGGGGTGGAGTAGTTCTTTGAGTGAAAATTCTGGTTGTACCGGATAAAAAGATGATGTCTACACAAACAAAAATAAACTTGGTGTGGTTGCAGGAATGCCCCGCTAACTGTACCGGAATTTCCGAAATTTTTCTCGCTCCGTGTGTTTGTGTGTGTGCGAGTATCATGGTCGTATCGTGTCGTATCGTATCGTCTTTGACGGGATAATGGAGTTTTTGATACAGGTACGAGTACTTGTATGGTAATTCCGCTGGCCAGCATAGTACTTGTTTTTTCGCTGCCGGGTGCGCTGCGATGTGAGGGGAAGGGAGGGGCATATCGCCAAGCCTTTTTTTTTTTGTCTTTTTTGTTTTGTCGGGCGAATGGAAAAATCAAATCAAATCAAATCAAATCAAATCTTGGTGCTATTATATCATGGTATTTTGATGGACTTGACTTGACTTCTGATATACAGTGTGATACTGTATACCCTACGTATTCTGCACATCCAAAGTACAGTACTGTACCATTTCAGTGGTGTGCAGTACAGTTAATCTACGAGTAGATAGATAGTCGACTCTTCCACGCCGACAAGAAGTAATCTAGTGTTGCAAGAAAGGAACTTGAAGTCCTCCCCCCTCCCCCCATCCCGGTTGCGTTAGAACTATCTGCAGTGCGATGTTGTGCGGTATCCTACCACTTACTACTCGAGTACGGTACCGTGCTCACTGGCAGTGCGGAGGATTGCTTGCTTTTCCATTCGCGCCCAAGGCGATAATGAGGCGGCGGTGGCGGTGGGTGCGAAAAATGGGCCGTGCGATGGCTCGGTTCGTCGGCTCGATTCGGTACAGTACGGACGGTATGAGCCGGTGGGGCTGATGAGGTTTTATACTCGAGTACTTGGCGGGCAGGTAATCGCGAAGGGTTTTCGGTTTTGGGTGGTGGTGGCGGGTAGAGTATGATACCGGCATCTGCGGATGATGTACAGTATGATATAATACTACTGGTACGGTACTGTGCCATGTCGGGTCAAGTAGAGTCGGGGTTCCGTGCAAAAGGGCCGGTAGAGCGGTAGTCGCTAGTGTCATATTTATTTTTATAATATCAGAGGTGTTGCTTTTCCCTCCTACTTGTGACTAGTATTTTTCCCGGTTATCATTATTATCATTATTATACTCGAGTCCGGCTCCGGGGGTTGGTCATTGCCGATCACGTAGGCTATCCTGCGTATGATATTTGGAATGTTTACAGAGTTGATGATAGTTTCCTTCCCGCAGTGGCAAATCCACCGAGAAATTTGTTCCTATGATATCATATCCCTACCATGATATCATACGCCTAATCCTGTATAGTACTGTACTTGAGTAGAGTATCATACAAAGTGCACCAAGTTTTGAACCCGCCCCCGGACAACTTGACCTACTTAATGAGAAAACAATTTATCCCCAGTCCGGCCCGCCGGGTAGAGAGAGAGGTTAGCTCCTCCAGCCTTAACCTATATACTTCCACACTGAATTTAAACCTCCCCACCCCTAGTGCATCACCACAACTCACTCGCTCGGGCAACAGCATCCCATCAAACCCACCATCTTATCACAGCACGAACGAACCACCGCTAATCCCGTTGCCCACCCCCCGGTCAGATGCCGCCACCCGACCGCCTTCCAGTATTGATCTCCGACGACGCAAGAACTTTTACGTTATGGGTACGGAGTAACTTTTAACAGTTGGTCCCCGAAAAGCGGAGCGAATATGATGGACGGGTGGTGTTGGCGACCCCCACTCTTTCAGATGGACTGCGGTTGCGTCCGGTCGGGGTGCCGTACAGTACACACTCGATCTATGGTTCAGTGAAGACTGGTATGTGGTAGAGTATTTGGGCGGTGGGGATACCTTGCGTTAACGCCGCGCTTTCGGGGGTCGGGTTGTTTTTTATGCTCATGATGAATCGGGCTTTTGGATGGTTTGGGAGGTTCCGGGGTTAATTTTTTTATTATAATACTGGGAATGGGATGTTTTGTTTGTTTGCTATTTGGTGGCGGGTGTGTGGGTGTGAACCTGCTGTAACTCCTTTGATCGAGAGGGTCGGGTGGTGCGGGTACCGGTACTTGTTCAAGAGGGGGCGGTTATCGGGGTTGTTATAGGACAGCGCTCTTAGGTGATCCATCGCATGGACATTTCCGTTTTTCTTGGGATTGATGGTGCCCTATGGATTTGTTTCGAGATCCGCGCTGTCAGCTTTCCCGCTCTTGTGTGAGTGATAGCTTGTGAACAATGGACATCGGGCGCAACCAGTGTGAGCGTGTATTGCATCCTCGCGATGTTTCTTGAGGTGGAGCCAGTGGCTGTGGGCGGGCGGGCAATACTTACTCGTGGTGGATTTCGTGCAGGGTTATATTCTGGGGTCGATAGTTCGCTCGAAAGGTTGGGCGAGGAATTTTGGTCCCACAGGATTACCAGTGATTACGATCGCCCTAAAAGAGCATACTTCCGGAGGACCGGTGATGGAAAAGATCATGTTATATTTAAATGTCCCCTTCATGACCAGAATTTTGGGAAGCGACCATTTGCTTTTGGTATTCCCCCAAGAAAAATAATAATTCTGAATGCTGAAAACCTAATAAAAACAGCTAACTCTATGTTTTGCTTCCCCGCACATTAAATACCTTTTTACCCCGAGTACTCCTGAATATTTCCGGGGTTCTTTCCAAGAAGCGCCATTGGAACAATACCAGAAACATGGCCTGGGGTGAGACAATTAGAGGAGGTTTTCAAACTAAGAGATAGTTGGGGGGCGGGGTCCTACATTCAGGCCCGTAGACGTGCATATCAAGCTTCAGCTCTTGTCCAACATTCTTGATGTTCTTCAGGCCTTCTTGGTAGTTGGGCCCAGCACGGCGGACCCAGATTTGAACCTTGTGCTCAATGAACACAGGAGCAAACTCACGGAGAGCGCGGATGACGCCCTTGAAAGTCGAGGCAACATTCTATAAACAATTAGTAGGGGTTTCAAGTTCGAAAGCCCAAGGGGATCGTACAGTAAAGTTGGCAATACCACCACCAATGAAGAGGACACGACCATCTGGGTGGATAGGAGCTCGCAGCATCAGATCAAAGACTGTGCGAGCATAGAGGTATGTTTGTCCCTCAGTAGGAGCGCCGGAGTATTCTCCATAGTTAGCCAATTCGCTGGCAAATCCAGATGAAGCAATGGCATCAGCGTAGACTACTGAGGCGCCACCACCAGCGACAAGAGTCCAAACTCGCCCAACTGGGTTAAGAACAGTCAACTTAAGCGAGGCACCAGTCTTAGCGTCAAGCTCAGCAATGTACCTGAATGTCACATGTGTTAGAAGTAACCCCACGATCCAACCTACCGTGGGGGCGTAGAACGAGGAGACCTACGCCTCTTCCTTAGAAAGTTCACGACCAAAGGGAGCTGGGAATTCCATTGGCGGACCAGCGTCGATAGAGACGGTGGTGCTGTTTCCGGCAACTGGTCTGAGGCCGAGGGCTATAGGGCTTCGGGCGACTGCCCATTTTGCTCCGCACTCAAACTCGGCTGTTTGATCGAGTTTTGCAGCAAGATCCAAGAAGTGGACCTCGGCTGAGGTCTTGTCCTCGTTGGGAATGACCACCAAGGGGTTGATCTCAAGGTAGCTGTAGGCGCAAGTTTGTTAATAAAACCCTCGGTTCCCTCTAGCTTCAAGGGCAAACAAACGTAAATTGGCAGTCGACATAGACAGCGTATAATCTTGTAATGAAGTCGACCAACACATTATGTACTCCTGAGGGAACCTTTTTGAGAAGGGTGGACGCAATAGTTTCATTTGAGGGGTATCTACATTATGTGGATGTTAGTTATATAGCTCAGGGAGAGTCTTCCTTTTTGTATTGAAAAAAGGTCAAATTATTTTTTATTTTTTTCACGTCGAGACGGAGGTAAACTAACTGTTTCAGATCAACCGGAATCAAAAGTTTCTCAGCTTTTGCATCCACATCGCCAACATCCACACCACCCTCATGGGTAAAGAGAATCCAGTCACCCTTTACGTCATCAGAGTTAGCAGATATCCAATCAACACTACAGACTTCGGAGATGATGGAGGCATCATCAACAATCGGCATTGCGGTAGCAAGAACCGAGAAAAAAAAGAAAAAGTGGATCAACAAAATCTGGGAATCGCAGGAAAGCAAGAGTTTTGCGGGTAGATCCTCCTGTTACAGGATACTGAAGCATAGGAAGCCCGATAAGCGAAAGGATGAAATCGACTTGAATGGGTCCGTGATGTGATGCGGGTGCGTGATGCGGGGAACTTCCGGTGTCGGAAAAGTGCATTGTTCTGGGAGGGAGAGCTGGTTGTTTCCGCTCGCCCGAAAGATTATATAGCTTTGCGAACGGCAGAACAATCCATCCTCCCTAACTAAGCACAGAAAATTCGAAGGAGACCGCCACCCATTGCAAGAAGAAGCAACGAGGAAACACGGGTATTGGAAAGGTACTTACTTCTCTGACGGAATGGATGTTGATATAATATTCCTCCTCAGGCTTGTGCGGGCAAAAGGGCTCAACCAAGAAAGTTCTCAGGTAGCCCTTGACAACCTCTACCTGGACCTCCGATCCGGCTCTCTCCTGAATCCAAGCACGTGCATCGGCCCAATTCTTGTTCAATGCTAACAATCCAGCCTTTCCACGTCTCTTGATGAGTTGATCAGGCTTTGCGACAAACTTGGCACCTTGCTCGAGCAGCCATGGGTATTGCTGCTCAGCAGCATCTAAGATAGCTGCTGGAGACGAACCTTCAGGAAAGGTGATGGAGGCAAGTTTTGCTGGTGCATTGTGAGGAGGGGGAGGCAAAGGAGACTCAGAGATGACGGCGGAACGAGTGAGATGGTAATTGAGGATAGCCTTCCCGTCAGCTTCGCGAATTGATTTAGCAGACATCTTGGAGAATGGGTAAGGGGTATCAACGGGATTCTAAACCGGAGAGAGGTGGCTTGTTTGCTTGAGATGTTGAGGAGGGATAGGATGGAGAGAGATGGAGAGGAAGAGTGGAAGGGGGGGGAAGAGAGCAGAAGAACGACACGGGGGGGTAGGGTGAATGGACGGGAAAAGATCAGGGAAGCTCGAGATCGAAAGCGGGAGGGGAAAGGGGGAGGGGAGGAGGGTCAGACAGCACACACGGCGGGTGAAGACCAGGTGCCCAGGGTTGGTCTGAAGCGTTGGGCTCCGGTATTTTTTCTTCTCCCCAATGGTTCTTTCTCCTTTCCTGAAGTCTACATGGCGGACTGCAGGGGTGCCCCACTATCTTGGCTTCCCCATAGCTGGGTCTGTTCCTTCTTGAGGTAAAAAAGGGTGTGGTTCCAGCGCCAAACCCGAGTAAGCCCCTTCTGACCCGGTACCTAGCCTTGCCGTTCCAGGTAAGATTTGAGCTGATTTGCGTTAAAGCCACACTAACGCCACACTTTATACCCCGCCAATTTTGTCCAAAAGAAGTTATTTTCACTAGGAGTAGGAAGTCCCAACAGAACAGGACGACCACCGGCAATCGGAATTTCAATTGTTGTCCCAGGCCCTACCAGGGGAGCACTCCTCCGCTTGCTAAGGAAGGTGCAAGGCCGGGTTCACTCCGCTGATGGTTGGACACCTTTTTTTTTCTTCCTCACCCAACTACATACCCCCGCCCCCCCCCCCAACGCTCGCCAGACCCTACCTATCTCTCTCCGGTTGCATGCCCAGCAAGACTTGGTCCCGCTCCTCAGCTTCTCTCTTCCCTCTCTCCTTTTCCCGTCCTTCTCACCGTCCCTCTCCCCTCTCCTCATCTTGCCTTGCTTGTTCCTTAGTGATTTCTTCGTCGTAAGTTTGGCTTCCTTCTCCATCCAGATAATACTCCTTTGCTTTTATCCATTCAGCTAACCGTCGAGCTTTATAGCAGCCTCCAATAGCCTCCCCTTTTTGCTTCTAAGCAACGGTCTCTACTCAAAGGTTAGATTGGTGAGTCTAGAGATGTTTCTCCATTGATTTACAAATTTGGCCGAGCTTCCGCTTCAACTTCTATCCCTCCGTGCCTCGATGGGGTCTGTGATTTGCTCGTCCTTGCATAGCATGACGCCCTCTTTGCAAGTGAGGGGTATTGTGGTTGGAGAGAGAGACCAATTCTCATGCAGTGCATTGCTGTACTTGCATTGAAGTTTCCATCTTTTTAGAACCTTTATCCTTTCCCGCTACTTCTCATTTTGTCCTCTAAAATTTGACCCACTCTCTCGTCGCCTCTACAGAGGTTTTGTCTTCTTTCTTCCAGTAGTTTCATATCAATTGTTGCTAACTCGTCAAAAGAATTGAACTTTCGAGATGTCCCAAGCTTCCCTCGCCCCTCCGGTGGCCAAAAGCCAATCTGAAAACCTGAGGGCGAACGACAATATTCGTCGTTTTAGTGCACCTTCTCGCCCAAGGTCCCCACCAGCGGAGCACACTCTTTTCCACACTAAAACCCGTGCATTTGTCTATGGGTTGCAGCCAAGAGCTTGCCAGGGAATGCTGGATTTTGACTTCATCTGTGAGTAATTTATGGGCATCTCCTCCCTTTTGGTAATTGAGCTCTAGAGCTTTCTTCGCTGGGCTCAATTCAAAGTAATTCAGGGCTGATGATTGAGACCTTTAGGCAAGCGTAAAACCCCTAGTGTAGCTGCAATTATTTACCCCTTTGGTGGACAATTTGTATCCAAGATGTAAATGATTCCCGAGCTGGTATTTTTCTCTGATGGTAGCTAATACGGGTCTTTTTAGGTATTGGGGAACTTCCGAGACATTGCTTCCTGTCTACCAGTCTGTAGAGAAGGCTTGTGAGAAGCACCCCGAAGTTGACACTGTAATATTCACTACACTCCTTGAATTAATAGGTTTTGCTGATCATTTTAGGTTGTGAACTTTGCTAGTTCCCGCTCGGTGTATTCTAGCACTTTGGAACTTATGGAGAAGCCTCAGATCAAGTCTATTGCGATCATTGCTGAAGGTGTTCCAGAGAGGCGCGCGCGTGAAATCATGCACATTGCTCAGCAAAAGAATATCACCATTGTAGGACCTGCTACTGTTGGTGGTATCAAACCAGGATGCTACAAGATTGGTAATACCGGAGGAATGATGGATAATATTGTAGCCTCAAAGCTTTACCGCAAGGGATCTGTTGGATACGTCTCCAAATCTGGTGGTATGAGTAACGAATTGAACAATATTCTCGCCGAGGTAACCGATGGTGTTTATGAGGGCGTTGCTATTGGAGGAGATAGATACCCTGGAACTACTTTCATTGATCATTTGTTGAGGTATTTGAGGTCCAGTGTGGTATTTATGGAAGCCAGCAAAACTAACCGAGCACTACAGATACGAACTCGATCCAGAGTGCAAGATCCTTGTCCTTCTTGGTGAGGTTGGTGGTGTAGAGGAATATCGGGTGATCGAGGCCGTTAAGAACGGAACGATTACCAAGCCTATCGTTGCATGGGCCATCGGAACTTGCGCTTCTATGTTCAAGACTGAGGTGCAATTCGGACATGCTGGCTCTTTTGCCAACTCGCAGCTCGAGACCGCAGCATCCAAGAATGCTGCCATGAAAGAGGCAGGATTCCACGTTCCCGAAACCTTTGAGGAATTTCCCCAGACCTTGGCTACTGTTTACCAGGGTCTAGTCAAGGCTGGCACTATCGTTCCGCAGCCTGAGCCTGTTGTTCCAAAAATTCCCATTGATTATTCCTGGGCCCAAGAACTGGGTCTTGTCCGTAAACCTGCTGCATTCATCTCTACCATCTCCGACGATCGTGGACAGGAACTTCTGTATGCTGGTATGCCCATTTCTGATGTCTTCAAGGAAGACATCGGGATTGGAGGTGTTATGTCTCTTTTGTGGTTCCGTCGCCGTCTACCTGAATACGCCTCCAAGTTCCTGGAAATGGTATTGATGTTAACTGCTGACCATGGACCGGCTGTTTCCGGCGCAATGAATACCATTATTACCACCAGAGCCGGAAAGGATTTGATTTCTGCCCTTGTATCCGGTCTGTTGACTATTGGTGAGAGATTTGGTGGTGCTTTGGACGGCGCCGCTGCTGAGTTCACTGGCGCTTTTGACAAGGGATTGAGCCCAAGAGACTTTGTAGACACAATGAGGAAGCAGAACAAACTGAGTAAGTACTCCGAGCACTTCTAGTCCCGATAGAGGAGCGCTGACAACATGTTAGTCCCTGGTATCGGTCATAGGGTCAAATCTAGAAACAATCCCGATCTCCGTGTTGAACTTGTCAAGGAATTTGTTCTCAAGAGATTCCCTAGCCATAAGCTTTTGGACTACGCCCTCGCGGTCGAGACCGTCACCACAAGCAAGAAGGATAACCTTATTCTCAACGTCGACGGTTGTGTTGCCGTATGTTTTGTTGACCTCATCCGAAATTGTGGTGCATTCACCGCTGAGGAGGCAGAGGACTATCTCAAGGTAAATTCTCGGTGATCTATTATGTGTTTGGGTGGGCTAACGTTGTTTCAGATGGGTGTCCTTAACGGATTGTTCGTACTCGGACGTTCTATTGGTCTCATTGCCCATTACCTTGACCAGAAGAGATTGAGGACTGGTCTGTACAGACACCCATGGGACGATATCACCTATCTCCTTCCTAACCTCCAGGGGCCATCACCTGGAAACGAGGGTAGAGTGGAGGTCGCTATTTGAATCAAAGGAAGAAAAATATGATACCAGTGTTTTTCGCTGTTTCTTTTGGTTTTGTTTTCTAGAGTGTGATTGGGAAATAAAAAACTCTGAAGGGGATTTCTTTTCTATTAAATATGAAATGTGATACAGCTATGTTGATGAATCATGTCTTTCTAGCCTTTGTTAATGATGGTTTATGGGAGCCACGTTTGGTGTGATATTTTGCGAAGCAATTGTGAACCTTGATTGATTCAGATTGAGGGGGGCTATTCACGGCACCGTAGTTGTCATCGTAGATTCAAGAATACGCATAGGCACTACGAAAGTACCAGTATTGGTCAATAATTGGGGACACTACTACCGGGGAGGAGGAACCAAGCTTTCGCCAAAAAGATGCAGGCGCCTCAACCCCCGCGAACATGGCCCATTAACGCCGCCACGGTCTCATGCCCTCTATCCAATCCCATAGGACCTAAAGTTGTGCTCCACCAAATACCTGGTGTATGATAATTACACCGACTTGCGTTCTCCAATAAACAGCGTCTAGGCTCAACAACTATTTTTGGGAACCTTGCTGGTAGAGCAGGGATGAAGCATAAGTTAAGGTACTCAGAATCTGCAATACGATTATTGGAAGTTGGGCTGGTCAGAATCTGCATCTCTGTTGTGGCGGTGGAACAAAAGCCCTTTAAAACAACTTGAGAACACCCGGAAAGGGTTCATTGCATAAGTTAATAGATAAGTAACGGAGTCTCTAAGTGCGATGCTCAAACTTTGGTTCGACGATTTTCGTTTCGAGCACGAGAAGCACAGTACAATACCAGTACCCCCAGAATGAGCGCAACATCAATTGTGACCGAATGAGATTTATTTTCATTTTTATTTTCATTTTTTTCATTTTTTATTTTTACGATTGTTTCACTTAAGAACGCATACAAGTGCTCGACGTCGATGGCGCGGCGGGGAGGGAAGGGGAAGGGTGGGGGGCACTACAAGTACAGCAACAACCCACCCAATACTTGTTCTCTCTAAATTAACTTGTCTCCGCCATTTCCCGGATCGAATAGTTAAGAGACGGCGTGGGTGGGTGGGGGTGGGTGGGGGTGGGGGGGAGGGAACATGGTAGATCCCACGAGATCCCAAATCAATTTCATACAATCTTGCTATAGTACCTGTCCAAGCCGAGTTATGCAAGCTACCGTATGATACGTCAATTATCATGGTGACGGTTAGAACCCCACGGGCGCATATATGCATATATATACCGGGGGATCTCGATGGGGCCGGAGGCGGCTCTGCGGGAGGTCCCTACCGACCCGGGCCTCGGTGGCCGGCGTAAAGTAAAGTACTGCTATATTGGGGTAAGCGTGTGGGAGTGTAATCGGTGGCGGAATTTTACGCAAAACCTCCTGGAAAGGATATTATATCAATTTTTGTAGATTCTAGGTATTGCTTGAGCGTGTATCGTAGCATCTGAATTGAGAGTTCGTGGAAGTATCATACCTGGGGTAGTAAAGTGATCGAGCTCGGACGACGGCGATCGCGGAGTAGTCCCGATACCCCGTGCTCTGCCTGTCAATGATGAAACACTTCCACCCATACTACTGCTCACACAGCGAGCGGCTTCCCCCATGATCTTTCGAATCGCCTGCGTTTTTCTCCCCCATCCAATCACACACTCTCACTCGTCACAGGTAGCCCGCGCTACCGGGGTTGATAGAATACGGAAGCGAGCATGGAGGAGTGTGGGAAGGTGTGGGGAGGTATGGATTGGTGGTGGAGGTTTTATGCCGTCGCCTGCCAATTCCCGTACGAGGCGCCGCCTGTGTACTGCTATGTTAGTCCGGTGTTTCGAGATGTTCCAGGCCTGGCGTATAGTACTTCCCTTACGCCGAAGAGATACTTCCGTGGTGTCGGGTGGTCGGGCGGGGAAAGCTTGTCAGCTGTAGTTCTTTCTGTTTGAGGGGTTTCATAAGCATGGGTATCACTGTGTTTAGGTGTAGAGAGGGATACTTACTTCACTGTGTGTGGGGGGGGTAGAAGGGAAAGGAAAAATTGAAGGTGACGAGATGGGATGAGTGAAGGGCGGACGCCGTGCTATGAATGGATTTGCTATATTCTATGATATGAGCATGTTTGAGTCTTCTGGATTGTGGGGAGTTGAATTTTGTTGGCTTGTCTTATCATAGCTGTTTCTTTGGCCGTCTGATCCCACCATATCCTATCATACCCTATCCCATCGTAGATTCTATAATATCATACATGCGAAGAAAAATGGGGAAGAAGAAAAGGAAAGGAATTAATGGAGGGGGGGAGAAACATGGCACGAGGAACTGACAGATGTGAGACTACAGCATATGTATCATAGGAAGAAAAAAAGTGATGTGAATAAAAAAACCCGAACAACACGAAAAATACCAGAATCAAGCAACTCTGAATGCTAATGAGGGTTTTGGGCAAGGAAAGAACTAGAAGAAAATAAAGGCCAGTCGGTAGTAATCGCGGTTGACGTCTGTAGCGTTTATTGCAGTGTCGCAGTCCTTCGGGGATACGCCTAAGGGATCCACAGACCACCCCCATAGTGTAATCACGGTTTTAGGTTATCTTTGCCGAATGGGTCGGGGATAGTTTTGGAGTTGATCCTGAGCTGTTCTGGGAGTAGCCCCAACCTAGGAAATCTAGTGTCTGCTTTGCCGGCTCCGCCGAGCACCCCTAGGCTTTCTAGGTTTGGAGTTGCCTCACTCCTTGCGATTTCCAAAGCTACTCGAGTATCATAATAATATTATCATAATATTATATGGAAATCTGGGGAATGACTTGGTAGCACCCGCAACGGCACTGCTGTAAGAACTCGAATAGTCAGACGGTGTGCTAGGGCATTGGAGTTGCTTTTCCTATGATATTAATAGTAAGGCCTGGTGTTTTTTTTTTGTCTTATTTGTCTCGGGAAGTAGGTTTTTGATGTGTTTTTCGCCCCTTTTTCGATGGGGGAAAATTTGGACCAAGTTACAGGGCATATGGCCTTTTTGTTCGAGTTCTTACGATATTTCATGTATCATAGTAGGTCTTTACCTTGAACAGGTATTGGAGAGAGGTGGGTCAATTCTTCTTAAAAATTTCTGTTTCTCCCTAAAAAGCTTACAATTTTTTCTGGGTCAAAACCTGCAGCAGTATTCTCCGAGCGTTAATATGATTTTTTCTTTCTTAGTCTTGGTGATATTTCCTGCAGAATCATGGGGCGAATAAATGGCAGGCTAAGCCAGAATTTCCGGATACTTTTGCGTTGGAGGAGTAGGTCCATGGTACCTCTGTGCCCATTCGAACGGGCCCGCAATAATGCTGTTTGGCCGTCGTTATCGGATGAGCGGGGATTGACTTCCTTGCGTTCGGGGGGTAGCTTCACTATGTCCTCATGTCCACCCATAGATGCCACGACGAGTGGAATTCGGCCTTTGCTGTCTGTGACTCTGGGATCCACATCCACTAGTTCCAGGAGTAGCTTGCAGACCCCTTCGTTATTTCTTCCGATAGCCCATAAAAGTGGCGTATATCCCAGGGTATCCTCTCCGTTCACTCCATGATCCCCAGACTTAATCAGAGCCATAGCGATTTTCCACAACCCCGAGGTACGCGATAGCATGCAATCCAGTAAACCTGCTGGAGGGGCGATCAAGGTTATTCCAGCTATACGTGTAAGATAGCAAGGGGTTTCGATCCACTAGAAGCAGCGCTGCGGATACATGGCGGTCATACCGGCCAAGAAGTTGGAGTGCGAGTGCTTTCATATGTTCCGATAGTTAAGTAACTTTCTAGTATGGGCTCCCCAGTAACAAGAGGCATATTCGAGAAAGGGCGCTTGAGGCGGGGGAGGCAAGATAGTAGGAGGCAGGTACTCAATACTCTGAAATTTGAGGTATATGAGACAAACCTGTGCCATTTTCGAATGGACACTACCGAAAAGATTGGGATTTTCGTTGAGATACTCCTGAAGAGTCAAATGTATTAACCGAATTCTTGACCCTTCCTCATCCATTGTGGCCAGTCCCAGACAGCAGCCTAATAACGTCTCTATCGCAGTGACATTCTGCAGGCCAAGTTCCGTCGAATCCTTTTCGATTGCTAACGCATGACGTATCGTAGCTCTTCTGCACGCAGCGGCCTCTCGGATCGTGATATCCACATCAGTGCCTCAATCCCGAGTTTCCCCTTGTCTTCGTCGTGCTCCCGAATCCGCTCGAGTTGCAGCATAGGCATCGCCCATTCCCAGGTCATTAGTCATCAGTCCAAGTGTTTTTCTCTTCCGAGAAATGGTTGATTGCGCTAGGATCACGTTCACGCTTAACGAAACTAGCAGAAATCTACAAGTGGAAACATGTCAGCAAATCACCTGAGAACAAATCTACTCAGTGCCATGATGCCTTTCACATACATTCCCGAAATCTTTTCGGGAATAGTCCAAAGGATTTCCTCTCTTAAATCCTGGTCCATCGCCTCAGGCTGTGTATCATTGCTCAACTTCATGCTGAGATATCTCTTGATATCTTCCTCTGTTGGTTTGATTTGAATCTCTGCGCTCCTAGTAAAATATCTCCCCAACTCATTCTGAATGTGTAACCACCCGGTCACGAATAGCCGGGTGCTAGATGATTCTCGCACGATTTGCGCTAGTGATCTGAAAAGCTCCGCTCGACGCTCTCTGGGAAACTCATCCAACGTGTAGATGCAATAATAGCTCCGTTGCGGGACACGAAGAGATGGGACCAGTAGCTTGAGGATTTCACCCTAACATGTAAGCCGTGGATTGCTCTTTGTGGGCGTGGAAGTCGCAGTACTGTACAGTCATGCGATAGCGGCAGGTTGCCCATCACTTTGATTGCATAGTGTTTCGATGACTGAAGCGCTACACAAAAAGATACTACTATTAAATTTTTATAGTCTCCCCAATTGCTCAAGAGAATGTTTTCTCATACCTGAGGAGTGTCTTGCCAACCCCGGGATCCCCATAGCAAATCAAGACAGGGCTAACCACCCCATCCCCACCAGTGCGCCAATCTACAAACTCGCCTCTTTGTAGAAGCCAATCGCCTACCCCTTCACTTGGGACTCCCTAATATCCCAATGCCTTTTCCGAGGAGCTAATGGAGATAACCATTCCAGAACTTGGCGTCTCTCATCCGTAACTGATATGTCACAATAGTTCCAGGTGTTGTAACCCTTTTTCCCGTTAGCACAGTTGATGTTGTATGAGCCGAGT